CGTGCCTTCCGAAGCACGGAGGAACTCGAGATAGTAAATTTTTGGTCACCCATCCAATGACCGACCACTGCGAAAGTTGCTTAACTTCAACGATCGCAGCCGAACGCGCTAACCACTTGCGCCATTGAGCTCCTCTCTCAAATGTGTACTGAATTTTAGTTCTCGTTACGTACGTTGTGGCGCTGTACTAGAGCTAAGGGTACTGTAAATTGCAATGTATTGCAACCAAACGCAATTGTTTTGTCTACGGTGACTGGTCTACAAAGTTTTGTTTCAATGAGGGTACCGTTTTCTGTCTCACCAGATGGCGCCACTGTTGAGTGAGGTCCTAAATTGTAACTTTTAAAGTTTATTAATACGCACATGAAATCAAAGGTTACATTTATATCGTATTTTAACACAAAAGAACCATATCCTAAACATAATAGACCATGCCACAGTGACGCGCAGTTCCGTTTTATTCGGAAAAAATGGGAACATAATCATTTTTCTAAGCTCAAATTTTTAATAACTGACATTCATTGCCACATAACTCATATTTGCCATAATTAAGCCGAATTGTTACCAATTATTCACAACATTGTTTTAATTAGAAATAAACCCGCGTAGTCAACCAACAAGCAATAACATTTGACATTTCGGAGACCTCACGCTACACTAGCGCCTCTAGCGGCGGATTCATACGCGATAGCCCTCATTAAACACCCCACACACGCACACACACACACACACACACACACACACTTGATCGACGTAACTAATGTACCATGCATATTCATACCAAAAATTCGCAACCCTAAAAACAGGAGCGATTCATAATTCACGATGCAAAGTAGATAGCGATACCACATTCAATAAATTCTATAGCACCGTGTTAAGAATTCATGATATTGTCTCACACTAAAAAGCAAATTAATGATATTGGTATTCTCAGATAGCTTTTTCTGCGAATATTTAACTTAAAGTATAGACCTTACTAATCTATTCAATTTAATTTATACCAGTAGAATATTGCAATTATATCAATTGAAAAACTAACTGTTTATCGAAGACGCTCATTGATATATCCTGCTTGTATATAATATATTACATAATAATTACGATTGTATTCTATAAATTCAAATATTGACAGTATTACATTTAGAATACCCAGCAGTTCACACCGTATCTCTCACGGTAATTTACTAAGAAATTGATCAACTTACAGAATTTATTATATTCAGATGACATATAGATATACATATTAAACATCCATGACTGGAGTACAACAGCTCGTATACATCACACAAACATCTGCCCCCACCGGGATTCAAACCCGGGACCTCTCGAGTCAGTGACACCATGAAACCTGGCGTACAAACCACTCGGCCACGAAGGTTGTCCCTGTGTTGATATGTAGTAATTCCTTGATCATTTTAAAATTTGAAATATATTTATATACCAGCCACATTGAGATATTCCACACAGTTGAGTGACATTCTGAAATTGTTGTTATTCAGAGGGACCTATTGAATTCCTTTTGGTGATCACACGTCTAGTATTGTTTAAATCATATAAAACCTCGTCCTACACTAAGTGTCGCCGCACACGGGCCACACGCCACAGCCACAAACGCCGCCACGAGAAGCTAGAAGCGGCTACTAATGTGGCTGAAGCGCGCGACAGCGGCCGACTAAGGTAAGGGAGAGAGGGGAGGGGAACGTGTGGCGGCGTTTTGTATCGGCGCATTAAGTGGCCGGTGCGGGCCACAAGAAGCGAGCAACGACGATTTGTAGCATGTGGCGGCCACCGGCGTACCGTGTGTGGCGAGTCCATATAAAATGTATGAAAACTACAAGAAATATCCTGGTGGCGGCGTTTTGTGATTGTGGTCAGTGGCCCGTGTGCGGCGACACTAACATTCCGTATTAATAATATATTCTCGGTATTCAGATGGTAGGTAAATGGTTATATCGAAATAGTACACTATAGGCAGTCATGTAAGAAGCTTCTTTCAAAGAAAAACACAATAAAGAGTAGGTGGGCAGCAGTTAAATTTAACTGAGCACTAAAATAATTGTGAAAAAGGGGTGAACCCACAAAAAATTAAGCCCGAACCACAAAATAATTACACAATTTACATAAATTACCCTGACCCAAATCTAGCTTAAGGTAGGTTGACATAACTGACAAGTCAAAGTAGCTCGAATAAAGAAAATTCTTTGGAACAAAACGGTCGGGGCCATTTGAAACAATCTTATTTGCAATCCTTCTTAAAGGGTCACCGCTAACAACGAGCGGTACGAATGTCTGCTTCATCCTTCCCAATCTGAAACAATCAGGGAGGGACCCTTTTCTCTGCCGCAGCTGGCTCGCATGGACTCAGGATTTGACTAACTTACCGTAACTTTTGATTTACTAAGCGAAAAATTTTGCCTATTCTTAGATGAATTCTTTTCTTATTGAAGGGAAAACTTCTTTAGCGGTGTTGTACACTTTTTTTGTATGGGTAAAAAATGTTAAACTCGCGTCAGGTTAAACACGTGGGCTGATCGCATCATGACACACAATAAAATTGGAAAGGTTGTTGACTTTCAATATATTGGACGAAACATAGTAATATTTTATTTTATCGTATTACAATAATAAGACTCTATCTAGGACGTCCAAGTGGCGGCTTTATTGCGAAGAAAATGCATTTTTTTACAATTGATGTCGCTAGGTGCGCTTAAATGTGATTCATGTAAGTTGATTTCTTTACAATAGATTTCGCTAAGTGCGCTTAAACGTAATTCATGGAAGTTGATTTTTCTGAGAGATAAACTTTTTTAATGTAATATAAATTTTCATGTTTGTGTACGATAGAGTAATAAATAAATATTGTATTCTACCACATACATGATAGTACTTTTATACTGATAATTAAAGCAATTCGTGCAAAATTATTCCCTAACCATTGCAAAATATCAAAAATGCACAACGTGAATTTTCAAGTTTTCACTTCTGCCGGCACTCCCGGAGTGCAACCCGTCGTTTTTTTTAAGGTCTTTTAAGGTCTAGTATTGTTTATTCATTTATTTTTGTTATTTCATAATTGAACTTCGTAATAAGAATGGCCAATAACAAGTTTCTACAAATTAAATTAGTTACTAAAACTGTCGGAGTGTAGGCTAAATTAGTAAGTAAGTAGGTAACATGTAGGTATGCATATTTTAATGCCAGATCGCGCGTGACCGTTGCAAAGCGAAATAATAAATGAAGAAATTAATTGTGTTTTGACAATGCTTTTAGTACTTCAGAAAATGACTATACCACTAAAAAGTTGTTATATAAGACAGACAACCGAGTCAGAATTGCATTTGCTCCATACAAAGTAACATGTGGAGTAGCGAATAACGGGTGATTCTAGTACGACGGTTTGGGGTACAAAATTTAATGTAAGCTAAGTTCAGTGGTATCAATATTGCTTCTAACGATGTCGAACCGATCATATCCGATAGTATCCAACGCTCTTCAAGAGATAATAGTCCATTTTTATGGCAATTATCGATGTAATCGGATGAGCGACAAGTTCCCACGTAATTGAGGTATCTCATAAAATAGGTTTAGGAATAGTACGTATTGTTGCAATTATAAAGGCACATATTTGAATGATCATCAAAAAAATGCTATGTTATCCTGAATAAAAACAATTGATAGCTTAACCTGTATGTTATCAATTTTTTTTAAGTGATATAGATGATCTTCAAAAAATCTATAATTTTTTGAAGATCATCTATAAATATTTCCCATTACAATATAATACTATCGGGAAGTTGCTGAAAATCAGCATTTTGCCTATTAAGGCAAAAACACTGCTGAGCTTCTGCCTATTTGCATCACTGATGTCGATTCTGGCATGATTCTCTAAAGCTAAACTTAAATTTGACAACAGTGCATCTTTGTCGTTCTCTATACAGAATGAAAAGGAGAGACTGATGTTAAATTTAGTTATAAGTTTAGAGAATCACGCTAGAATCGGCACCACTGTCACGTTCTAATGACTGTAGTTTATACTTGATATTTAAGAACTTATAATCATCTATGTCTGCAGTGAACATGTATTAATTTGTGATGCAAATAAATGAATAAATTGAATTGAATATTATAATTTTTGCTACCTTAATCTTTGATTAATCACAAACTTTGGTCTCCAAAATCTGTTTTTATTAACATTCCTGGATATTGCAAATTGTGTACTCAGTAGTGTCAAAAAGTAATTTAAATTTGTACAATTCTGCAATCGAAAAATTTACATTTTGGTGCACCAACTTAAGTGCAACTTCCGTTTTAATTTTGGTGGATAACAATTTAAAAGTTACGTCATTAAAATAACATACATTAATAACAGGTCGTACCGTACGATTTTGATAAGCGTTATTAATAACCACATATATTTTATTTGTATCCACCGTCGAACATTTAATTAAAGCAGGAGAGAGCTAGCGAATAAATTGTACCTACCAATAAATTATGAAAATGCGCTGTATCGCTATATTTTGTTTGAAAACTCGGAATAAAAATCATTCCACGTTATTTATCATATAAAGGTAGTGACCCAAATCAGAAAATACCAATTTCCTCTAAATTCATTCAAAAATTTACTGTTCTCTGTCAGGATTGGTAATTTGATGTTTTTACTGTACATGGTGTTTACGATAAATTGTAGTTACTTTATTTTATGTTTATGTATATCATTTTATACTTATTTAATTCAAATTGTTTCCAGACCATAAATTATAGAAGAGAAGTACACGTTGCACAGTTGTACAACACGGTTTCTAGGTGTTTTGAAAGAAAATATAATGGTAAATATCTATTTGAACTTCCTACCTGCTATATGGGCCCTTTTACAAAATCCAGGTTAGGTGGTAAATATTTGATTTACCATTGTGAATATTAACGGATATACTTACATACATATATATACATACATGTACATATATATATATATATATATGATACTGAACTTTTTTGCATCAATGATTTTAACAGGTATAAGAAGAATTGGAAATTATACAGTAAGCATTTTAATCTTCAGCGATTTCATTAGCCCGAATCACCTACCGATGTTTACGAATTCAACTGAAATACGAAAACTGTGCTCTCTACAATTACCTGTGAAAACTGTAATGCAACTGTAGGCTTCATTTAATTTTGTGGCGTGAATAAAATAAACGTAGCAACAATGGGGATTCGGCTCGTGAACTTAATTACCTACTATTTGCGTGGGGAATTCGGAATATTTGCTGAAATGAATTCACGAAATTTGTAGTAAATTTTTTATTAATAAAGCTAAGGAAATAAACATAGTCGGTAACCCTTAGTAAAGTAATATCTAAACACGCTATTATTATTTATAGCTAGATGCAAATGACTCTACCCCACCTGATATTAAGTGGTGGTAAAGTCCAGACGCGAAGATAGCTGGTACAGCAGTTATGAACTGCCACACCAACCTTACTCACCTTGCCGGCCTGTAGAAATGCTTCTTCATGCCTCTTTTAAAGAACCCCAGGTTGTAGGAAAGAGGGAATACGTGCGCGAGTGGTTTTGTTTATCATGCAATCATTTGCTGCCTAAGTATTCCTGTCCACCCCTCACCTCACCGCAATCTTAATGGTGCGGTTTTTCGTTCGCAGTTATCGTTGAGGTAGGCATTATTTACGATTAATCTAATTGGACAGCCAACTACAAAACAAAGGCAACCTTGGAGTATTTTTATTGCATAAATTCCTAGGTTTATCACCAGTCTTTAATGGGCCAATTTTATAAGATACTGAAGAACTGGCGCTGCCTTGCAGCCTATAAGAAGCACTAGAGCAAATTCGTCGTTACGGTAGCTTTTAGTTATTGCGTCCGCCCGGATGAAGGAATATACGGGTTCGAATCTAATCCAAACTTGAAACGACTAGAAGTTTTTCTAGTAAAAAAAAATCTTTAGATTTACTTCAAACTTCATGGATTTTCATATAATAAGGAATACTACATGACATTTCCAAAAAGTCGCATTTTCTTGTCACCAGGTTGTAAACAGCGGTGGCACTGCCATGATAAATTGCACATGGAGTGGTTGGCCAGCGCCAAGGTTGGAGTGGCTCCACAACGGAGTGCCTCTGGGGGCAGGCGTCGCGGGAGGCAGGACCCGCATCCAGAACAACGGGGAACAACTGATCATAGCGTCGGTGCATCGCGCCGACCGCGGCGTCTACCAGTGCGTCGCAAGGAATGAGCGCGACTCCGCACAAGCCAGCGCTGAATTGAGACTTGGCGGTGCGTTCTTGCAATTGAATTTTAACTTTTCAACCTCACTTTAATCTACTCTAATTACCTTTAAGCAGTTTTATCTTACACTGTTACTGGGTTTTGGATACATTTGTGTCATATGAATTTTAATTTTTATCGTAGCAGTGAAACAAATTCCATTTAGTTATATTAGTATATTGCTGTTTATCTCGATGACATATTGACTCCAATGATATTAGATACCCTAGATACACCACGTGCGCTCAAAATGTGTCCCAATCAAGAAGTGCTTGAGTGGCGTTCAAGGTTTCTAGGTTCACAGTCACGCGCAGAACGTTGAAAAGTCAAGATGGCGCAGACCTCCGTGAAAAAATGCGAAAGAAATACTTATAGTACGTAGAGTGTAGTTTTTTCGACAGGCACTTATTTAATATCTGTTAATTTAACGCACTTAAATCAAATTAAGTTCTAATATTTACTATTAATTGATTTAATAGAAAATATTTGTGATATTCAAATTCATAGTCGGTTGAATAGCCATCTCTTTTCCTCGCAGTCCGTAACTGCTATATTGCTAACAGCGCATTCAGAATTGCGCATACAGTCAAAGAAATATGGTCTATATTCTTCCGTATATAGCAATAAGTCGTAAAATTTTACGAGCTTGCATTTCTGTCATAACTCTTTGATGTATACTTTTTAACAAAGACCTTATCTTCTTCTTATCCAGGATGCATTAATGGTGACTTTCAATGTTTAAAAAATGCCCTGTATTATTTGTTTTGAGAACGTGATCATCTTACAGATCCTCGTGGATCGTCCAATATACCTTTTTGGACAGGTTTTTGGTACGTTTTTTTTCATGTTGGTGTATCTCGGGTTTTTAAAATCGTTGATTAACTCGCATAATATTTTTGCTGTGACGAATGCAAAATATCTATAATTCAATTCATTGCTGCAAATGTCAGCCTCATAGTGTGTGTGTATTACATTTAATTTTGTTATTGGGTATTAAATGAAATTAACTTTTTGTTTCATAGATACAGCGCCTGAACTTCAGTACACGTTCATAGAGCAAGTGCTGAGGCCAGGACAAGTCGTCACCCTCAAGTGCTCGGCTGCTGGGTCACCGCCTCCACATTTCTCGTGGCTGCTTGATGGGCAACCTCTAAACACTATAGCTAGAGGACACAGGTACATATGAATAGTACACTCAAGAGCAATGAATCCGATTAAAGCTGGATTGGTTTATAAATCACAATTTCTGTTGAGTTCAATTATATTTTCATGTAACTTTATTTGTATAAAAATGTTAACAGTTTATTTAAAAAGCTTATAGTAGTATTAAAATATTTTTATTAAATTTCAAATCGCAGAACATAAACATTTCAAAAACATTAACCGATCCCCTGCTGTGTTTGTTTTTTCTGTAAGTTTTCAAAGCTTGTCACGACTGAACCTTGAAAGTGAAAAATATTCCACTTTATGGCTCGTCTAAAAGGTGTTTTATGAAATGGAATAAATAGGCGTAAAAGTGCGTAGGCGGAGTTCAATTATTTTTCTTATAATTTTCTCATTAACTCGGTAAAGTAAGGCCGTGCAAGAGGTGTTATCAAAATTAGATTTGGTAATAGTTTTGCGGCTGACGTTTCTTTTGAGTTGGCGTGCAAAAACAGTTTGTGTGGTTTATGGATAAATGGCTTTTTCAATATTATTTTAAAGTTACGTTGTTTATTATAACTTTTCAACTCTCATAAACAAATTGCAAAGAGCAGTAATACTCAATTATATTGTGTACAATACAAATACATCTGATGAACTAAATTCATTAGCTTGCTAACTAAATTCGGACTGCCTTTTCAGGACTGCATCGTCAGAATAATGACCTTATTCTGACGATGCAGACCTGAAAAGGCTGCGAAACGTCAGTAAATAAATAAAGTTCGTGCATTAACCCGTTAAAATGAGTTTTATTTAATGAGTGATGTGCGTGAAAGCGTAAGAAACAAATATTTATTAGCTTTGATATTATTTAGTATTAAACTGTTCCTATTGATAAATAGGCGTACATGACATATTTTGTTATCTTTATATTAATTTTAGATTGTCAATAAAAAAATGTATGCCAGAAATGGTTAATATGTAGTACTTATCTGTTATTGTCACCTTTATGTTCATACCGCGTTGGTACAAATGAATAAATAAATTTTTAATTATAAACTTAAATAACTAAAACAGACCCAGGTACTGCGTTCTTTTGTTCATTATAACAGATTAATACTTCTGATCCATACCAAAATCCTGTGAAGTTATGATCAGCGATCTTCTTTATAAAATTCTCATGTCACAATGTTAGTTACCATACTCCTCCGAAACGGCCTGACCGATTTTTATGAAATTTTGTATGCATATTCCGTGGGTCTGAGAATCGGCTACTATCTATTTTTCATATCCTTAAGTGATAATGGTTGTCCACCTGTAACGTAGTGTTCTGAAACCTACAATGCGCCTTCGCGCAAAAATTCAAACTATTGTTTATTGTAACGTAGTGTTCTCATATGGGTTAGGAGGAATGTTATCCCAGGAAATTGATAGAACACTACGTTACACACGCCTAAAATTTTTTTGGACATTTTTTTTAATGTGGTATTAAATTATACATACTACCCTCAATTTTCTCTTCTACCACCTGCCCCTATTTTTATGGCGGTACGAAGTTCGCTGGGTCAGTTAGTTTTCTTATAAAATAGTTGAAAATACTTATAATGTTTAATGTTAAAATACTTAAACGTGCGAAACGCTCCAAACAAGACTGCGTTTAACACTTTGGCGCGGAAACATTACTTTAATCTATTGGAAAGCGTTTAAGCTCAATCAGATTACTATAATCGGACACTGTATAAATATGTATATGTTTTATGTATGAATCTTTGTTTATGTGTAATATATTATTAGATATATAGGATATGTATTTATGTATGTGTATATATAATTATGTTTATGTTTTAATTTTGTTTTTCGCATTGTTTGATGTTAACTTTCTTTTTTGTTATTCTTTGCCGTTATATTCGCTCTGCACTTTCTTTCCGGTTTACTGGTAGAGAATGCCATATTGGCATTAAGTCCGCCATTTGCATATAAGGCAATTAAATAATGGATTAAAAAATAAATAAATGTTTTGTCTATATTGTACAATTAATGTTTTTAAACAACCGTGACGTGCTTTTTCAGATACAGCGTAGAGCAATTCGCCACGAAAACGAACGATGTAGTTAGTTATTTGAACATTTCGGCGGTGAGATCCGAAGATGGCGGTCTCTATACCTGCAGAGCTGCTAACTCCCTTGGCGAAGTCTCACACACATCCCGGCTCAATATCTATGGTAAATGTTTATTTATACCGACATACATAAGTTTGTGCCCAGTGCCTGAAAAGAAGGATGTATGGCCAGTGTCTGTTACCAGTGATGACTTATGGGACTGAGACGTGGTCTCTGAATGTCGGCCTCATAACAAAACTCAGAGTTGCGCAGCGTGCTATTGAGAGGGCTACGCTCGGTGTTTCCCTACGTGATAAGATCCGTAGAAGGACCGGTGTGTACGACATAGCCCGAAGAGTTAGCACGCTGAAGTGGCAATGGGCAGGCCACATCGCTCGAGGATCTCACAAACGTTGGGTAAGAAAGGTCCTCGAGTGGCGACCACATGGTCGTACCGGACGACGCAGCGTGGGGCGGCCCCCAACAAGGTGGTCCCCCAACATCGTCAAATGTGCTGGGAGCCGCTGGATGCGGATAGCGCAGGACCGCGCATTGTAGCGTTCTATGGGGGAGGCCTATGTCCAGCAGTGGACGGAGAAAGGCTGATGGATGGATGGATGGACATAAGTTTATGTTAAGCTTTGAACTGTGCTTTAAAACACAGCACATCTCGGAGGACTTCTATGGCGTAAGTGGTCAGCGCGTTCGGCTGCGATCGTTGAAGTTAAGCAAGTTTCGCAGTGGTCGGTCATCGGATGGGTGACCAAAAATTTACCATATCGAGCTCCACCGTGCTTCGGAAGGTACGTTAAGCCGTTGGTCCCGGCTGCATCTGCAGTCGTTAGCACCCATCAATACACATTGGGCCCGCGTGGTGGGTCATGGCCTAACCTCCCTATTCCATCCATAGGAAAGCCTATTAATGTCTCCCCAGCAGTGGGGAGACATTAATAGGCTAGTGATGATGATATTTGAACTGTGCGTTAAAACAGTCTGGCGCATTCGATATTTTTGTTACGTTTCCCAGTCCAAAATAAAAGGCTACGAAAACCTTAGCTTTGTAGGAAGGCCAAAGGGGAAGATCTTCCTTCGAGCTGGTTGATGGTAGCTCGGGGGCCGCGGCCCGACTGATGTTGGTCGGGCATCGTATATATGAACTGTTGGCCGCCGAATTTCACTTGTGCGATTTAGGCTTCCATATGTTGTGAACGCAGCGCCGGTAACGCCATCTCTTGATGAGGATGATGAGGCGTAAGATTATTTCCTCCATGTTAGTTATATGTGGGGCATATAGATGTCGCTGCCACAGATTCTTTGAAATTTAAATATTAGCAATCAATTGTTTTTTCCAACATTTTGAATATACTTTCTACATTAACCTAATTACTTAGTTGTGCTTTTTAGGTCCTCCGTACGTACGTTCAGTCGGTCCTATCAGGGCCGTGGCTGGTCGAGAACTAGTGCTATACTGCCCTTACTCTGGCTATCCAATCAGGTAATCTTTGATCAATCACTGACTTACAATGAGAAATTCTCATTTTTTTTTAAATGTTTGCTTTTATGACTTTCAGTTCCGTAAAGTGGGAGAGAGACGGCAGTCCAATTGCATGGGATAATAGCATCGATGGTGCTTTGAGGATACCAAGGGTGGATTCGTCCCATGCAGGAACCTATAATTGTGCAGTGATGGGTTCACATGGGGAAATTGCTAGGAGGGACTTGCAGCTGGTTGTAAGCAGTGAGTAGCTTGTAAATTATAGTCTTCCTGTATTATAAAACCTTTGCAAATTAAACTATTGAATAGTATAACTATTATCTCTTGAAATATGGATTCAAACTTGTTTTATTATTAAATTCAATAAGAAAGATGGTTGGTATATACCACCAGCTTGGGAACCCATTATGCAGGAGATAAAATCCCAACCCTGAGCACACACTGCAAGACCATCAGATACTATTCTTTTTGTTTGCATAATTTAACATAAGAAGGAGATAGAAAGCCTCTCTTGAGTTTGTTTCGCCGGTTCTTCTCAGAAAGGTCTCCCAATTTTAGAACCGGTGGTAGTTTGCGGTAGTTAGGGTCAAATAAATAAACTCAAAATTATTTGAGTTTTAAACAGAATTTTAAATAAAGTACTTCATTTACTAAATTAACTAATAAATTCATACATAGACAATAAAACTTTAAAAATCTAACAATGAAATAACCGAACGCTCAATAAAAGTCTTTCGAAGGTAGCTCGAATGAAATAAAAAATTATCCTGACGAAGCAGACCTGAAAAGGCTGCGAAACGTCAATAATTAATAAAGTGTTCATTAACTCGTTAAAACTTATTTAATGAGTGATATGCGTGAAAACCTAAGAAACAAATATTAAATTTCTATTTTCAGATCCTCCAGAAATCGAACCATTTTCTTTCTCTGCAAACCTGCAGGAAGGTAAAAGAGCTCAAGTTAGTTGTAGCGTAACATCCGGGGACATGCCCGTACACTTCACTTGGCTGAAGGACAACGCGCCGATACCTTCCAATTTGCAGGTTTGTGACAGCTACAATTGATTTATATCGTATTGTTTTCAAGAAATATCTTATCTAATTCAGTAACCCATCTTATGATCGATTTTGTAAGTTTCCATAATAAATTTTCTTCCATATGTCTACGCTTACAAGAAAGATCTCTCCCAACCTTTCCCATTTTCAAGTCTCGTGAATTCTTTTCCCCCGTTCGTTCAAATGTCCACTTTCCCGAAAGAGGTTTGACAACCCTGACCATTGCGTAGGTGGAAGAGCGAGGCGCCGATTTTTTCAGCAACCTCGTATTCAAAGAGGTTTTCGCTCGGCACAGCGGGCTTTACACTTGCGTGGCCTCCAACTCGGCGGCCAAAGTTAACTACACTGCCGAACTGGTGGTGAAAGGTAACATAGCACCGATAAATTCTCACCAGCACCAGCACCAAGCACAAGATCTTACAGCACTTCACGCTTGCACCAAAGCAACAAACCGTATTCGGATTGTACTGCCAGTTCCTTTGCAATCAGCTCTTGGGGTCCTGTTTAGATTTAGATGTTATGTTAGAGGGATTCTCTTGGTTCACAGTTTTTTCTAACTGATATTAAGAGCTATGTGCAACATAGAAAGGTTTATCAGTCTCATTCTATTCGCTATCTTAAAACTTGTGAATTCAATCCTTTTCTAAATTGTACACAAGCTCTTAGTTGATTTTAAGGTTCATTTTGTATATATTTTCTTTGATCTGTTATTTTGTTAATGATACGTGATTGCTTATTTTTAAGAGTAACTTTCACCTAAATGTTTTCGGTTTTTGTTTTGCACAGCGTTGGATTACAGATGGCTTAAGAACATGGTAACTGTCCACATATATTACCTATTTTAATGCAATTTTAACGCTATAAGATTAAAGAAAAAGGAACAGAAGTAAAACAAGATATTATTTGTATATTTTCCTATCAATCTTTACAATAAAGATACATGAAATTACAAAATTGAGGTGTCAATTCTCCATCGCACTTCTTATAAAAGGTTTGAGTAATTTATTTTATTATTAAAAACTATAAAATATGCTCGTTCGGCCTGTGCTGAATAAAGAAGGCTTTTTATAATTAGGATGAAGAAGAATAAATCATCTCGTTATAAGAGATTATCTAAGTACCGTTGTAATTTTGTAAATTTTCAATTTAATGAAAATATCAATGTAAGTATCGTACTTACATACATTGAATACGTGTCTTAACTTTTGCATTCAATCTATATTTACTGCAGCTGGAACAGGTGACAATTTTACTAACAGCCATACTGAAAGAAACGTCTTCTTTCATATTTAAAGGTTTAAAAAATGAATTGATATTTCCGAGTATGGCCGTTAGTATATTTTTTTCATTAGTTAGTATGAATACGACGAAAAATTGATGTTTTCATATTCCAACTCACAAAAATCGATCTGATTGGCGTGCATTTGGAGAGGTCTATGTTGAGCATTGGAATAAAATAGGCTGTTGATGATGATGATAATTTCAAACTCACATCAGTTTGAACAATCATACCTCTAATATACATCTTCATTACTGTCCCATGTCAAATTGAATCTCGAAAACTTCAATGTATGAATTCACTTAGGTATACTTTTTTCTACATATTACTGTACTTAAAACGTCATCTTTTGTCGACATTTGTTTTTCGTTTCTATAATAATGATATGATTTTATTTCTAATAATGCCTCATCATTTCTAATAACCTTCAGCCTCATTTTTTTATGCTTTACTCATCCAATCTTGGTTAAATTTTATATCAAGTTTGCAAATTTTTTTCACGCTGCAGTATCACCTAAATGGGTGATGGAGCCAAGGGACGAGGCAGTCTTGGCTGGAGAACCTCTGGCGCTACACTGTCAGACCACTGGATCACCGACGCCTCAAATCACTTGGATGAAGCAGAGAGGTTGGCATTGCCATACCCTACCAACACTTAATTTTTAAGCTCTACAGTAATCTCTGTCGTAACAAAAGCCGTTTTACCTAATGATGCAGTCGCACTACCCAACAGATATCAGATGTTTTAATTGAAAATTTTCATAGTTGTAAGCAACTCTTACATTCAGATATATAATAACATAATTTATACGACGTGGTGTTGCGACCGAAACACAGAACGCACCGTTTCATTAAAAATCCCGGTTCTGACGTGAATCTACAATGTTGTACGTGTTCCTAGGTTATATAGGCAATTTGCTATTTGATTTTGATTTGTTTTGTCTTTTTTCTTATCTTATATATCTATGTACAATCCTTACAAGTTTTTCTTTAATAACATACTGATATTCGTAAAGTTCCTTCTTGATGTTAGTTTGATAACCACTGAGTTGACTGAAACAATGAATAGAGATCACAATACGTGCCATTGAACAAAGTCCAAACTCACACTTAAAAAAAAACGTGCTTTTAATAAGGTAATAATAATAATATAATTTTATTTCTCTGCACAACTTACATAATATGGGACGCTATATAAGGTGGAAATAATCTTACATAAGATGTGAGAGTCTGGTGCCTGACATAGGTATGGGAATACCTGTGTTACAGGTCACCAGGCCCCGCTCATCGAATCCGAACATAGTAATATAGCTTATTTAAAAATATTATTTATAATACTACTAAAAAGACAACAACTAAAATCTCAAACATAAATGAAAGTGTGTGATGTGCATGCGCGTGTGTGTGTGTGTGTTTGTGTGTGTGTGTGAGTGAATGAGTATGACAGTGTTCAATCTGTGAAAGCATGAATTCTGAATGAATGTAAGCATGGTTTTTAAGAACGTTATTATTTATATTCACCGTGCTTCCCTTCAGGTCCAACTTCGACCGACTTCATACCGCTGGTGAACCTGGGCGGCAGGTTCCAGTTCCTTTCCAACGGCACGCTGTACATCGAGTCGGCGCTGTCCTACGATGAAGGCAGCTACATGTGCCGCTCCGAGAACGGCGTCGGATCGCCGCTCACCAAGACCATCACTGTCGCTGTTAACGGTAATCTATTAACAGAATTATGCGATATAATTTTTAAGTAACATATCTTCACATTATTGACTTCACAACATATTATTATCTTCGAATCACAAAACTTTTAACGGCAACTGTAAAATGAAACCTGCCTGCTCGTAAATGCCTAGTGCATAAATTATACGAGAAGGCATCAGGCAATCCAAATCGCCAGAAGATTTGATATTGTAGCCTTATCCCCATACTAAGAACCTGGAACTTTAGAAGAAAAGAGTTTCGTTTCGCAAAATTTTCTCACTAGGGGCGCTGTAATCGCTTGACCCAAAACTTCTATCAAATACATACCTATTAGCTTATATTAATTTTAAAGCTTTTTATTAAATAAATTACAAATGCCGCGTTGTGCAATTCCTGGTCGTTGTGAGAAAACTGCATGCTACACGACTAAAATATAATTTTGTATGTTGCTTTGAAACGGGGGGGGGGGTAAAACTGGGCTGCTGTCACCATGGTATGTATCTGGGACAGGTAATTGCATCATAAAAATTAAAATTGCGGTCATATGCCTCAAATCTGTAAAAAAAAATCCAACGATATGCTTCTCATTTTAGCCAGAGGTAACCTAACTCTAGGTGATGTTAATAGAAGGAGTGCCTTTCTACTAGATCAGCTTTTCCGCCTAGCACAGATGCTCCTTTCCTTTTCAACTCTGTTTTCAGCTGTATTACAGACCATGTTGAATACACTTTTACCACTTACTTAAAAAAATTAACAACAAAAAACACGTTTAAAATTTGACAGCTGCAATATTCGGCTGTGGTTTGGGTCAAGCGTTTGCAGCGCCATCTATGTCGAGCTTTGCGTATACTTCTCCATTCCTCCAATATGTAGTGTGCTTTTATGACTCCTCCTCGCAACATGATTCTATGAATGTGCGTTTGTCTACAATCGCTAAGTTCAGCAAAGATATGGTCTAAGCTGGAGAGCGCAAGCTCAAATTGTACGTAGCTAATTTTGTCTCGAAGATCCCTGTATCGACAATGACAATGGAAGAGAATAGGGATGATAACTATTTTTTTTTCTTCGTTTATCAGGTAGATTATCAAAAAGTATTGGACACATATTTTTTCTTTTTTCACATAATATAAACATTGCCGAGATATATTGCAGAGATTTGAAAAGTCGCATGACGTCACGTTTGAGTACACTTAACGTACACAGTGAAAATTCACTCAAAAGTGACGTCACGAACTCCCAAACTTTGACATGCTATAACTTTGTAATTTTTTGGTTGATTGCCCAAAGAAAAAATACGTGTCCATTATTTTTTGATCATCTAACTGACGGACTAAATAGAATTTCGTTTACTGTACCCCGCCATCACCCCTATTTCATTTGATAACAAATGGACGGGTGTTTAATTTGAATGCCATTTCCAGAGCCGGCGCGGTTCGAGCTGACATCGCACAACATGACGGCGCGGCGCGAGGCGCCGGCGCGGCTGGAGTGCGACGTGCGCGGCGACAGCCCCATCCGCGTCACGTGGGCTCACAACATGAACCATCTAGATCTTAATACTTATAGGTAAACCTACCACCCTACTATGGAGCTCGAGAAATCTTTCTTTTTCGACTTCGACATACAGGGATATGGAGAAGATAAGATATTGTAATTACCGGAGAATCGGTGCATCGTTTTGGACGTGAAAGCTTAATCGACAGCCTTCCGAATTTGTAATATTAGTATATGGAACTAAATCCACCACAACCGTTTAGAAAAGATTACTCATCACGCCAGGAGATCGATGGCGCAAGTGGTTAGCGCGTTCGGCTGCGATCGTATAAGTTAGCAACTTTCGCAGTGGTCGGTCATTGGATGGGTGACCGAAAATTTACTATCTCGAGCTCCTCCGTGCTTCGGAAGGTACGTTTAGCCGTTGGTCCCGGCTGCATCTGCAGTCGTTAGCACCCACCAACCCGCACTGGGCCCGCGTGGTGTTTCATGGCCCAATCTCCCTATTTCATCCATAGGGAAGGCCTGTGCTCCAGCAGTGGGGACATTAATAGGCTGATGACGAAACCTACCACCCACTAGTACTCTTACCACGAACCAATATCAAATTCGAATGATTTGCGAGTGCGAAATGCCATTGTCAAATTTTATATGGAAACTAGAACAACAGCGTCATAACGGACGTAACGAGAACTAAAATCAGTAAACATTCATCATCAGCCTATTAATGTCCCCACTGCTGGAGCACAGGCCTTCCCATGGATGGGATAGGGAGATTGGGCCATGACCCACCACGCGGGCCCAATGAGGATTGGTGGGTGCTAACGACTGCAGATGCAGCCGGGACCAATGGCTTAACGTGCCTTCCGAAGCACGGAGGAGCTCGAGATAGTAAATGTTCGGTCACCCATCCAATGACCGACCACTGCGCAAGTTGCTTAACTTCAACGATCGCAGCCGAACGCGCTAATCACTTGTGCCATCGAGCTCCCTAATAGTAAACATTTGTCAGTGACATTTCGCAATCGCAAACTATATATTGATTCGTGTTAAGGGCACACAGCAATGAACACTACGACGTGTGTAAGAAATCACAGAGTCGGCGTATCAACCAGCAATGACACTGAGAACACAGCGCTGAGTTGTAGTTTAAGGGAATCGTGATTGCAGTAGCGGTCACCACTTTATGCAATTCTTTGTCAATGCAGTTTGAGTTGAGTAGGTAGTTTTAAAATATTTGAGAATACTCTCACAAAAACTACCCAAGGTAGGTAGGTATTTACTCGCAAATACCTACTTATTCTTCAAAGGATACTTTAACTTGGTGTCGGGTCACAATAGACTTTGTAGGTCGCGGTGACTACAGTACCACGAATGTATAAATCCAAAATAATAATACTTAAATCCAAAGAAAATTTTACTAAAAAAATTCAACGCGGCCCAGGAAGCAGACCTGAATCTGCACCCTCCGCTATCCGAGCGGACGCATTGACCAATGAGGGCTATCGCGTATGAATCCACCGCTAGAGGCGCTAGTGTAGCGTGAGGTCTCCGAAATGTCAAATGTTATTGCTTGTTGGTTGACTACGCGGGTTTATTTCTTATTAAAATAATGTTGTGAATAATTCGGCTTAATTATGGCAAATATGAGTTATGTGGCAATGAATGTCAGTTATTAAAAATTAGAGCTTAGAAAAATGATTATGTTCCCAAAACGGAACTGCGCGTCACTGTGGCATGGCCTATTATGTTTAGGATATGGTTCTTTTGTGTTAAAATACGATCTAAATGTAACCTTTGATTTCATGTGCGTATTAATAAACTTTAAAAGTTACAATTTAGGACCTCACTCAACAGTGGCGCAATCTGGTGAGGCAGAAAACGGTAGCCCTCATTATGCTATGACGAACTCAATAGCCATATGAAATTTCTACCAGTAAGTAATTCTTAGGCTGCAAGGCAGAGCATTAATATTGCTTATTTTTCATTTAAATTATCGTCTGCGAAGCGAACAGTGTCAGACAGAGTAGCGAAGTGCAAACTGACAAGAAGATTTATAGGTTTTTCATTCTGCAGTTCCAGGCTAAGCATCTCAGAAGCAAAGACTGATAGTGGTTTAAGGTCCCATCTGTACATCAGCCGCACCGAGCGGTCTGACTCCGGCGTCTACAAGTGCCAAGCCGTCAACGCCTTCGGTCACAGTGACCATTATATTTATCTTTCCGTCCAAGGTAAAGAAATATTACTTAGTTCTATTTTAAACATTGATTTTTGCAGCTTCGCAATCCTTGTAAATGTCTTTACTCCACCTGATGTTAAATGCAAGTTAAGACCAACTGGTTACAGCTCTAGCACAACTCGCAACTTCGCGAACACCTTGTGTTTCTAACATTGTATAAACGAGTAAAAATCTATGCCGTATTCAAAGGAGCTATCTGACTATCGTATGCCTTGCCATTCTTCTGACTCTGTGCTGTATAAAAACACTAATAATTAAGAATAAAGTTACTGCTCCTCAAACATGCCTGGAAAAGTGAGCATTATTTAATATAAATCTACACTAGCCACATACATGCGAGCAGCGACCGGCAAAAGTTAGATGAAAACCCATATCTGTCGTATTTAACGGCCATTTCCATTGTTTACTTAGTTAGCATTAAGTCTTAATATTCTCTTTTGCTCGGCAAAATTCCAGAGAAACCCGATACACCGCACTCCCTGTCCGTGACGGAGATCCTGAGCCGTGCAGTGCGTCTGTCCTGGAGCCAGGGCTTCGACGGCAACTCGCCGCTGCTGGGCTACTCGCTGCAGCACTGTCCGCTCTCCGCGCAGGGCGCCATCCGCATCAACCAGTGGGACTCCGCCGTTACCGTCAACGTGTCGTTGCACGGTGGCTCTCAGCCGCATGTGACGTGAGTATCGCTGCTTCTATACCATCGCTGCTGCTGGGCTACTCAAAACTCACTCAAACTCATTTATTCAGTCTAGGCTGTTACAAGCTCTTGTGAAAGTCAAACGCTACGCCATCGGTTCGTAAATCTACGGCGGGAGACCTTGTACTGAGAAGAACCGGCAAGAAACTCAGCAAGGGCTATTTTTTTCTCCCTGTTTTGTTTCAAACAGTGTCGTCAATTGAAAGATGACATCAAAAATTGAAAACATGTGTTGATGTCAACTTCCATCACATTAATATTATTATTTAACAAAAGTTAAGTATAGCTAGGTACTACATTTAAATTTAGAAGTGGCGGTTAAACAATTTTCAACCAAATCAGCAAAGTAAAACGACTTAGTCTGTTATATTAAGCCCAAGGTGACTTATCATTTATGAAATCTTTAACAGTATAGTAACCTTTCTTAAGGAGACATGTTTTTATAGACACTAAACTTATTGAAAGGTAAATTAATTATTTCTTTTGGAATTTTATTATAGTAACATATGCCTTGAAACACAAATGAACCAAGAACCTTTTGGAGACTCTGCTGCATACTGTCCGATTTCCATCATCAATCAATCATCAAGGATCAACCAGTGGGTCCTGCCGTCACCGTCAACGTATTTGGCATATTCTTGCTGAATTCTTCACAACTGGTCTTTCAGAACGAATGTGAATTTCATTAGTTCCAGATAATTATTGAGATCTGCCACGTAAAAACTATCTGAGTAGCCGATACTAAGAACAAATTTTAATGTTAGTGTGTTAATGTCTAATTTAGGACTTGAGTGAAAAAAAATTAAATAGCTTCTCTCGCATATTGTTCTGAATATGTAACCTAGGACTATAATGGTCCCATGTAGAGAAATGGCCTTAAGCCTACGTCGAAAGCGATTCTTTCTAGGAAGGAGACAATATTTTTATTCAATACTTCAGTGTATCATCAACTACAAAGCAAATACTATCAATCTAAAAATATCCTTAATATTCCTTCACTATGATGATGCCATTCTTTGCAGATTGACAAAAAAAGGAGACATACACTACGAGGCGTTCTTGAGTGGGCTGCGGCCTCATACGGCCTACATGATTCGCGTCGCAGCTGTCAACCAGATCGACAGGAGCGCCTTCACCGAACCAGTCGTTGTCAAAACGCAGGAAGAAGGTATTTTATCAAATAACTACTGCAAGCCGAATTGGTTGTATTTGTACCCCTGGTCAGCTTTATGCAATATACGTTCTAAATCTTCCTTATATTTTTCATCCTTGTCATGAAAAGTTTTCTTCAATTATTGTGTGTGACTTTGTTTCACTGCCTTGTTTTACATTATTTTTTATCTTATATATTTCCAGCCCCATCAGAAGCGCCGACATCGGTACAAGTGGTCGCGGGAGGTGCCGGCGAATTACACGTGTCATGGCGACCGCCCCCGAGAGAGGCCTGGCACGGCGAGCTGCTGGGCTACAGCGTGAGCTGCACCGAGCTGGGGCCCGACTCGCTGCCCCTCCCCAACACCACCAGGTATGACCACAGACGCGGGGCACGGCGAGCTGCTGGGTTACAGCGTGAGCTGCACCGAGCTGGGGCCTGACTCGCTGCCCCTCCCCAACACCACCAGGTATGACCACAGACGCGGGGCACGGCGAGCTGCTGGGCTACAGCGTGAGCTGCACCGGGCTGGGGCCTGACTCGCTGCCCCTCCCCAACACCACCAGGTATGACCACAGACGCGGGGCACGGCGAACTGCTCCATTGCCCGCTGTGCGACCTTGAGCCTTCTTATGAGTCCCATATGTATTTGGGGCGGCGACATCTACAGGCCCCACATATAACTAACATAGAGGAAACAGTCTTACGCCTCATCAAGAGATGGCACTACCGACGCTGCGTTCACAACGTAAGGAAGCCTACATCGCGCAAGTAAAATTCGGTAGCCAACAGTTCATATATACGATGCCCGACCAACATCAGCGGGCCGCGGCCCCCGAGCTACCATCACCCAGCTCGGAGGAAGATCTTCGCCTTTGGCCTTCCTACATATTCATATAGAAAAGAAATAAATAGTTATTATTTTTAAGCATGTAACTGCTTGATGTTTAAATCTAAAGAAAATATAACTAGAAAAAATTCTACGTGGACTAGGCAGCAGACAGGACTCGAACCCGCACCCTTCGCAATCCGGGCGAATGCACTGACCAATTATGCTACCGCAGCCCCCACGGCCCGCGTCGAAATTCCTCTAGCCATTCTTAAACTGCAAGGCAGCGCCATCTCTTCGCATCGTAGGTAACCCACAATGTCAAATGAATACTTTTACAAGTATTAAACATTTTGAAAGAAGAAATAGCAATTATAGTTATAATTTTTATTATTTTTAAGCATGTAACTGCTTGATGTTTAAATCTAAAGAAAAGTTTACTAGAAAAAGTATTCATTTGACATTGTGGGTTACCTACAATGTGAAGAGATGGCGCTGCCTTGCAGCTTAAAGCTAGGCAAATTTCGACGCGGCGAATAGGGCCGCGGTAGCATAATGGTTAGGCAATTCGCCCGGATTGCGAAAGGTGCGGGTTCGAGTCCCGTCCGCTGCCTGGTCCGCGTGGATTTTTTTCTAGTAAACTTTTCTTGAGAAATAAATTGTTTGGCGTGTCTCGCAGGACGCTGACGGTGAACGGGTGGTCGGCGACGGAGCTGAGCCTGTCGGCGTTGCGCAAGTTCACGCGGTACGCGGTGAGGGTGCGCGCCTTCAACGCCGTCGCCGCCGGCCCGCCCTCCGCGCCCGCCACCGCCACTACGCTAGAGGGCGGTGCGTATCTCTTATCTCAGAAATCAGAAATCAGAAATCAATATATCTTTATTCAAATTGGATGTATAGTACAACACTTTTGAATCGTCCAAACATTTTTTTTCCCTACCACTCGTTATTGGACATATTTTTTAGCTGCGGAGAAAAACGAGCGAAAAAAACTCCACAACATTAAAAGCATAATGTAACAACATTTACAAATCATTATGTTGTTACAACGTCAATACAATCATGATTTATTTAATATAGAAAACCTGTTGGAATGATTGGAACAGTTCAAACCCAAGCATTTTTGTCTGTAATATAATCAGACACTTTGTAATAAGCTTTTTTAATAAGTGCTTTTTTTATACTATCTTTGAATTTATTTATGCTTAACTCTTGGATATTGCTTGGGACTTTATTGTATAAGCGAACACAAAGACCTTTAAATGAATTATTGATTTTGTGAAGCCTAGTAGTAGGTAAAGTTAGTTTATTTTTGTTTCTTGTATTAAGTGTGTGAACATCACTGTTTTTAAGAAACAAATTAATATTTTTTCTTACAAGTAATAAATTTTCGTAAATGTATTGTGATGGTGATGGATGGATGGATGGATGATCTATTAGACAAGTACCAATATCTCACATATACACACTCACACACACATTAATTTATAACGTTTTTGTAATCATCCGGTGTCTCGAATCGAACCACTGCCTTTCATAACACAGGTCTTACCTAGCATGAAAGTCAGGGGTCCTACTTATAAGACTATATGATAGCAAACCATTCCATGTTTATTTTAAGATCATATTGTAGTAGTACTTGTAAGGTTTGTTGAATAAACATTATTATTATTATTAGTCTGAAAAAAATATTAGTCTGAAAGTCCGTCCGTCCGTCTGTGGTGCTGTTTCAGCGGCCAAACCGTAAGAGATAGGTAAAGAGAATATTTGAGTTATAAGTTAAGAATTGTCTGATAAGACTACAAACCGGATTTGAGTATCGTAGCACTTCCGGTTTTCGAGAAATCACGTGATTTCTATTTCAAACGAAACCACACAAAATCTCCGAAGTTCTCAATTAATTAAATACTTTTTTTTTTTTTTTTTTTTTAATCAGGTTTTGGTGAACATTTGATTCACTGATTTGCTAGTGTTTTACTATATAATAAATACACTCCTGGACACCTAGATCGAGCCACCTTGATTTTTTTGGTTTGCAGTACTGTAACTTATAAAAGACTAGCAAACCCGGCGAACTCTGTTTCGCCACCAGATGGCTTCGTTTTATGTAACATTTCGTTTGGTGATTAAAAGAAGATTTTTTTTTAATTTTTCCTGAATTTTCTTTGCTATAAACCTCACGGAGCCCGAGACCTTTCCAACGAATGCAAAACCGTGGAAATCGGTTCGTGCGTTCTGGAGTTATAGCGTCAGGAAGGAAAACCCGACTTATTTTTATATAGTAGATGTATGTGAAAGGAAAATGTTTTGGAGCTGGTATACTCATCATTCATTTAGAGTGCCACTGTTCTAAATTTGAACTACAGTTTATTAAAAAAGTCGAGTTAAGTTGAAACAAGTTTATATTTGCTTTTTTCAAGGAAAAAAATCATTTGAAATAAAGACATGTTTTACATGAAAAGAAATGTTTATTTAGTAACTTGTATTGCCTTAAATTGCTTCAAAAGCAACTTTCAACAGTCATTATTTTTTTCAAATCAGTGACCAAGCTCGGCTTTTGTTCTTTATTTTAAATTCTAAAATTCAAATTTGGAATAATACATACGGGAAAGACGATGAAATATGCCAGCATTAAAAATGCATAAAAACTTTTTTGTTATATTGTATATTTTTTGTGTATTGGGCTTTTAGGCCCGGGAATGTAAGGTGACTCTATTCAAGAGTCCGGGAGTGTATAATTAAAAATATGATAAAATATTAAATATTTTATTTGTCAAGATTGTCAATATTTGTCCAAAATCTTAAAACGGAGGTTAAATGTTACTAAAGTTCAATTTGTTTGTTCTTACTAGTTAGACACTTATTCATTTCCGTAGTCCTGACAAGGAACCCTGGCTAGTTTCGTCATGTCCGTCTGTCCGTTCCTGGTTTTGCTCAGAGACTATTAGCACTATAGAGTAATGTAATTTTGTGGAGATATGTATATCGATCACGCCGACAAAATGGTAGAATCGAATTTGGAAAATATTTTTTTTTTGGGTAGGTTACATGTAGGGGACTACATATAACAGGGGATTTATTCATCATTTACTAGTGTTGAGTAGGACTTACAAGAGGCGGTACATTTGTCCCGGACATGACGCTAAATTGTAAGAGCGGCTCAAAATTTTAAAATGTACTACTTCATATTAAATGTCGCGATAGTCGCGTCTCGTTACTCACTCACTCTTCGTAAGTCTGAGAGAGAGAGCGAGGCATGACATTTCATTTTAGTCCTCTACGCACTATCCATCTGTATCTCTATCTGTTTTTCGTGTATAGCGCTGTCCTGCATGCTGGATCCAGCAATATTGATAGTGCGTAGAGGAGGTGCTACTCGTACACACAAACGTAATGTCGAGCTTCTGTACGCCTCAATGTCATATTTGTACTCGTCACTTCAAATGTATTGCCGAGCTTCAGTACGCCTCGCCTCATTTGAAGTGGGACATTGTACTGGTTCAGTACAAAAAAGAGGCTACTCTTACAAACTCTTTTTCAAGTCGTGTCCTACCCAACACTATCATCTACCCCTTCGTGTGGGATATCGTTGAATAGGTCCTTAAAAATAACTGAGGGGTTTCTAGGACTGATTTTCGATTTAGGGATCCGTTTGTAAAATATTGCACTTTAAAGTGCCAATTTTTGTTCAAGTAGGGCTTCCCGTCCCCCCTCTAAAATCTAAATTATTGCCTTGAAAAACCTGGAAAATTTTAGGATACCAGTGCTTTTCATGAACTTTTAAGGAACAATTATAATGGTTAAGATAGATTTTTTACATAGATTTTTATAGATTGTGACATAGATGAAATTATTGTAGCGTAAAACCTTGTATTAAAAAACAAATTTTTAAAGAAACTATTTCGAAATTGTTTTTCTTAATTATTTTTCGATACAGAAAATAAAGACTCTTGCTCAAATACATTGTGGTAACGACAGGCAACTACGAAACCGTGAGCGCACGCATGAGCGTCGATGCGTGTGCGCGGTCAGTACCACCCACACGCAAGATGATTCTCTGACGCTTCGCAAAAGACAAAACTGTTCAAATCGGCTCGTACAATATGTATATGGCGTCTATTAGACGATAGGTTTTGCTGTCAGTTTACTGGCAGTCAAGGATTTGAATGATAGAGAACCCACCGTCCAATTGGGTAACTGACGACTGACGATTTAAACTACTAACAGAACTGCCTGATGGTTGCGTAAGTATATAACGGACGATTATGTTTTAGTGCCGGAATCCCACCCGCGCGGCGTGTCGTGTTCGGCGCTGTCCTCATCGAGCGTAAAGGTGTCGTGGGGCGCGCCGCCCGCCGGACAACACGGCGGCCTCATACAGGGGTACAAGCTCATCTACTCGCCGCTCACCGCCGACCACGGTACGTACCCGCGCCAGCACGCGGCCTCATACAGGGGTACAAGCTCATCTACTCGCCGCTCACCGCCGACCACGGTACGTACCCGCGCCAGCACGCGGCCTCATACAGGGGTACAAGCTCATCTACTCGCCGCTCACCGCCGACCACGGTACGTACCCGCGCCAGCACGCGGCCTCATACAGGGGTACAAGCTCATCTACTCGCCGCTCACCGCCGACCACGGTACGTACCCGCGCCAGCACGCGGCCTCATACAGGGGTACAAGCTCATCTACTCGCCGCTCACCGCCGACCACGGTACGTACCCGCGCCAGCACGCGGCCTCATACAGGGGTACAAGCTCATCTACTCGCCGCTCACCGCCGACCACGGTACGTACCCGCGCCAGCACGCGGCCTCATACAGGGGTACAAGCTCATCTACTCGCCGCTCACCGCCGACCACGGTACGTACCCGCGCCAGCACGCGGCCTCATACAGGGGTACAAGCTCATCTACTCGCCGCTCACCGCCGACCACGGTACGTACCCGCGCCAGCACGCGGCCTCATACAGGGGTACAAGCTCATCTACTCGCCGCTCACCGCCGACCACGGTACGTACCCGCGCCAGCACGCGGCCTCATACAGGGGTACAAGCTCATCTACTCGCCGCTCACCGCCGACCACGGTACGTACCCGCGCCAGCACGCGGCCTCATACAGGGGTACAAGCTCATCTACTTGCCGCTCACCGCCGACCACGGTACGTACCCGCGCCAGCACGCGGCCTCATACAGGGGTACAAGCTCATCTACTCGCCGCTCAATGCCGGTAATCTAACATCCTCATTGCATTTTCACAAATTTAAATGCAAAAGGTAAACATTAACTATCTCTAACACTGTCGCAGTTTGCTCTTTCAGTAATTGGATGGGTGATCAAAAATTTTATATCTCGAGCTCCGCCGTGCGTTGGAAGGCACGTTGGTCCCGGCGGCATCTGCAGTCGTTAGCACCTACCAATCCGCACTGGGCCCAATCTCCCTATTCCATCAATATGGAAGGCATATACCCAAGCAATGAGAATATGAAAAGGCTGATATTGATAATGATGAGATACCGATTCTAATTGGCATATACCTAGATTCAAATAACACGAGAGAACTCGATAGATGAAACAGAATACTAAATATTATCTAAATGCTATTTATTTGCACGCAGACCATGAGCTTCAGTAACAACATAAGATGATTGCTTTTGAGCTCTGATACAACAATACAATTTGTTGAGTTCAGTTTTAGTCTAAGAGCCAGTGTTCCCCAGACTTACGTTATTGTAGCAAACTCCTTAAATCTAATTCATCTGCCGTATATCAAATGGGGGTTCACTATTCCCATAGAGGGTTCCTTTAAGCGTACCTAGAAGTCGAAAAGACCTATGGGTTTGTTTTTGTGAATATATGTTTATAATTATAATAAAATAATATATATTTTATTGCTTTGCTAAAATAATGCAAATTTTATGAAATTTTGGAAACTATGATATTATTTATAATATAGTAGGAACCGGAGCAAGTGTCTGCCATTAAGTTTTTCTACAGAAAAAAATATATATTTTAAGATATCAAAACGGCAGACATGCTGCGATCACGTTTTGAAAGTCGATTTTCAAGCTTTTCGACTTCTAGGCACGCCCAAAGGAACCCTCTATAGGAAGAGTGAACCCCCATTTGATCTACGGCAGATAAATTAGTATAACTAGCATTAATATGGAGTTTGCTACTATACCGTAAGCCTGCGGAACACTGGCTCTCAGTCTATTTTGACAAATGAGTTTGTAATTGCAGCGGACGTGGGGGAGATAAAACGGGTGACGACAACAGAGACGTACCTCCACACGCTGCGCAAGTACACCAACTACTCCATACAAGTGCTGGCGTTCACCAACGCCGGCGACGGCAAGCGCAGCCCGCCCGTCTACTGCATGACGGAAGAAGACGGTAAGATTATACTGCTGTATTATAGATATTAGCCAATCTATATATGAAAAACTCAAAGGTGACTGACTTAGTGATCTATCAACGCACAACCCAAACCACTGGACGGATCGGGCTGAAATTTGGCATGCAGGTAGATGTTATGACGTAGGCTTCCGCTAAGAAAGGATTTCGATCAATTCTACCCCCAAGGGTATAAAATAGGGAATGAAAGTTTGTTTGAATCTTTGTCAATTTTAAACCGATCGGGCTGAGACTTTGCATGCAGGTATAAGGAGAATCATAGATGAATGTCAATGAACAAAAACTGTAGTCTACACTTCAGCTCTACACGAAGCGAAGCGAGGGCGGGCCGCTAGTTCTTAATAAACATTGCTTACTCACAAGATAGATTAGCTTATACAAGATAGACACATTATTCTGATCACAAAAAAACTAGCCGAAACGCTTATGTTAGGAAAATCAGAAACAATAGAGTGCCACGATAACCTACGCTTAGACAATAATGAAGAGTCTGTTTTCTCCGGTTGGAGATTAATCCTAGGCCATCGTAGTGGCAGACGGCAGTGGCAATGTGACAATACGAAAATCGGTATAACCTACGCCTGAGACAATAACGAAGAGTCTGTTTTCCCCGGTTGGAGATTAATCCTAGGCCATCGTAGTGGCAGACGGCAGTGACAATGTGACAATACGAAAATCGGTATACACTGCTTTTACAAGACGCATCAATTTATCCCGTTTGGTGTTTAACCTAAGTAAAGTCTATTCTGAAAATGGTGCAGTACGAAAATGTGCTATTCCAGTCATCCCTACCTTCCGTGCAGCCCTAAAACCTTATTCACCATTAAATGGTAGTGTTATTTCGTTATGGGACTTTAATTTGTGTGAAAAATCCAGTATCATACCTCTCATGAGCCTCATCATACTTGTGCGATTTTTGGGTTGTTTTATATCAAGCGTTTTGCTAACCGGTAGTCTTGTTCACAGTTCCCTCTGCTCCAGAGAAGATCAAAGCTCTAGCGTACTCCAGCGACTCCGTGCTCGTTAGCTGGATACCACCGCTTCATCCCAACGGGGTCATAACGCACTATACTGTTTATTACAGGGAGGCCGGGCGGTGAGTAAAAACCAACCTGGTATCTTATTGGAATTTTTGGAACTTGTTGAATGAGAGATGAAATGAGATGAAATTTAATAAATTTTTGAAGTGAAAACTTCTCTAGCGGCGTTGTCTTGCACTTTTTTTTGTATGGGTAAAAAATATTAAACTCGCGCCAGGTTAAACACGTGGGCTGATTGCATCATGACACACAATAAAATTGGAAAGGTTGTTGACTTTCAATATATTGGACGAAACATAGTAACATTTTATTTTACCGTATTATAATAATAAGTCTCTATCTAGGACGTCCACGTGGCAGCTTTATTGCGAAGAAAATGCATTTTTTTACAATAGATGTCGGTAGGTGCGCTTAAATGTGATTCATGTAAGTTGATTTCTTTACAATAGATGTCGCTAAGTGCGCTTAAATGTGATTCATGTAAGTTGATTTTTCTGAGAGATTTTAGAACTAAATTGTTATATTTTTGTACGATAGCGCAATAAATAAAAATCGTATTCTACCACATACATGATAGTACCTTTTTATAACGATAATTAAAGAAATTCGTGCAAAATTATTCCCTAACCATTTCAAAATATTAAAAATGCACAACGGTAATATTCAAGTTACCACTTCTGCCAGCACTCCCAGAGTGCAACCCGTCGTTTTTTTTTATCAAAGTAGCGAAAGGAAAAGCAGCACAATTACTTTTCTGGTGCTTAACAATTTATGTAATGGAAAAAATAGTATAGTAGGTCAATTCAGAACTTGTTTACCGGTTAATTTTCAAACCTAAATCAGTGTCAATTACATTAGGAGCGTTTTATTTAGGTTTAGCTCTACCTTAACCTTAAAAAACCGGTTTTCCTAAACAGCGAAATCAAATAGGTTTTGATCGATTTAGCGGTTTTTAAACGGTTTCATTTCGCTCTTTCTGACGCCATCGATAATAAATGAACAACTTGACTCACTAGATGCTAGCAATCGTGTCAATAAATGCATCAATCTCTGAGCATTAACAAGTTGTGACTTGATTAGTTCAAACAAAACAAACTTTAAGTGATGGCGACGCGTACACGTGGCGCTCTGGATTAAACCGGTTTATTAAGGTTTTAGGTACCGCTTTCATTTCGGACGCGCTCCGAACGAAACCTTTACTAAAAACCGGTATTAACCTTTATTTACCGGTATTTTTGAAACCGGTTTCAAGCCCTGGGTCAATTCGAAGTTAATCAAAACTATTTCACACATAAATTCACGTTACATTCTTTCCTAAATCATTATTCTCGAACATAGTGACTCGGAGAGACAACTCTCATAAGTCTACATCCTACACCTCGAAAACTACTATTGTTGCTTGAGCTCTCATTAGGGCTGGCCGCTTAAATCAAGGTGATATTTTACAGATAATCTACATATTTTACAGGTAATCTACGACTAACAAAATACACATTTTCACTTTCCTACGTTAGCAAAGCATTACAGTTGTGTGGTCGAGACTTGAGTTTTACTGTAATATCACGAAATTATATTGTTTTAAACTTTCATGGTCACTAACATTATAGTAATATAAGTTATTTACGGGATTGTTACCATGTACCTTGTTTTTAGCGAGTTTCCGATATTTCGGCACTGTTGCAAGCGCCATGATCACGGAGTAACTGATCTCCGTGTCCGATCTGTTACTCCGTGATCATGGCGCTTGCAACAGTGCCGAAATATCGGAAACTCGCTAAAAACAAGGTACATGGTAACAATCCCGTAAATAACTTATACCTATTATCACGAAATTATTCAGGTATCTCTCGTTTCTAATTTTATTTATTCATTTATTTTCTTAGAAAACCAACAGCGTTTTTCCAATACAAAATTTACAGCAAATACATTTCCAAAAGTATGGCCAATGACAGGTTTTCCTTAACTAAAGGAGATTGCTCAAATTGGCCCAAATGTACAAAAAATATTGACATGTACGGTAATTCTTGCCGTACTTTATACTTTATTTTACAGTCATTAGATTTTAACGGACACCTTTGTATAATATATTCATTTTAAAAAGGACTTAATTTTACCGGTTTGGAAAATATACGAATAATTTTTAATGGCTATGACTGTAGTAACATTCAGCCAAAGACTGATCGAAGTTGTTTATATAACATCAAAACAAATCTATTTTGTAAAGATCGATAAAATAAAACTTTTTTTTTATTACACTGTGGTATTAATATCCACAAGTATATTATCATTTTTACTTCCTGCATATGTGCTAAGACAAATATTATAGATGGTAGGCGACATCATAAAGTCTATTGCCATACATTTTTCGCCAAACACCTCCATAAACACATTATAAGTGTCACGAGCCAGGGCGTTTAAATGAAACCAACTCTTGGTGTGAACAACAAATTTATTTGGGCGTGGTTCGAAGTGCCCGGGTAAAAAAAAAACCGTTACAGTATTTGAAAGTTCTTTGCTTTCCCGGCCAGGGTTGGTACTCTCCTGGTAGTTCCGCCGAAGAGAAGTCCGGGCCCAGAGAAGATGGAGATGGTCACGAAGCGGTGGTCGTACTGGTCGACAGTGAAGTCCCGAAAAGAAGTCGGAAGTCGTCGCCAGGCGATGGGGTGACCGTGACGGGATGGATTGCTGGTCGTTGTCACACGATGGTGTACGGTGGACGCCACACCATGGACCCTGTAATATGGTCGCATTAATAACCAAACTCCGTTGTCTCCTCTGATTGTGGCCATGGCAAGAACTGGAGTAGAAAAGTACCCGGAACGTATGTGTGTTTTGTTATAATTGCCACAATCAGATCGGAGAAATAAAACAATTGAATAAGCTAAAGCACAGCTTAGTAAGCTTAAAAAACAATAGGAATATAACTAATATAACTTGCAAAAGCATTATAAATAAAGATAAAAATTCAAAACGACGGTTACTATTTTAAAAATTTAAGATTTTCCACTTTATAATCGGACGCTAATTGAAGGAATACTTGTTCAACACTTACCAATACGTGGGTTAATGCACTGAGTGTAATGATTAATTATACTTAAACAATTATTAAGAAAAAATAAAAAAAATATAAAGATCGCGCGTTGTCCGCAAGGTCGCTGGGAGCACAGAACGAGCGCGTGTCTGCTTGGAGTTCAATTTTGGAGTGTGAGATGGCCGGCCGCGCCGCAGCCAGCGCGCGGTGCAGGTCGGGGGGGGGGGTAGGGGAGGAACTCAACAAACGAGTCGCCAAACTTGGAAGCGCGCGTGCAGCGAAATTTCATTGCCCGATGTTAAATGAATTAGGTGTTTATAAACAATAGGTATTCAAAAAAACTGATTCGTGTAAATAATGTACAATTTAAGTTAATAATATAAAGCGTAATTTAATTTTTAGGTAGAATATTATAAGTTTTAATAAAATAAATATGTAACAACGTTACAATACCCCGCGCGCAGTGAAGGATTTTATTGTTTATAGAGAAATAAAATCCGTTTTGGAAAATGTGAATGTAGTTGCTTAACCTAAACATAAATCATCTTTCATACTTCTATCATTCTTCTATCATCATTCTTCTAACTATTAAAACAAAGTAGGTACCATACAAAGGATGTTACCGACTCCTACAAGCAATCCTGAAGACATCTAGTTTAATGAACTAGAAACTTGGCAAATACTTATATCCAATAAGTTAGTTAAGTGCGCGACGCGAGATATAAAGCTACTGTTGTACATAATAAACCAAACAAAAATATATAAAAAGAAAAAAAACTACTTATTGACACCAACCAACTTCAAGTCTTTAATGTGCCAGGTGCCTAGATCTTTTCCAGTCATATCCTGCAATACATATACCAATGGTGACTTTTTAATTACTATTTTAGCTTTAATAAACTTCGGAGCCAATTTCTTTGAAAAACAGTTATCTTTGTCGCTTAAAAAGTAAGCACGCTTCATGACTATGTCACCAACGTTGAACTCGGCAAATTTCCTTCTCAAATTATAATGAGAAGTATTCTTCACATGGGCTTGCCACAACCGTTTTTGCACTTTATCGAAAACACTAGATAGACGACCTAGATTTTCGGCATAAGCATCACGTGGTAAAATTGATAAATCACTACCGAGGTCATTGTCAACGTAATGTGAGCCACAAACGACTAGCTCCCTACCAAAAACTAAAAATGAGGGTGTATACCCTGTCGCTTCGTTTACGGAGTTATTTATAGCGAATTGGACTTCAGGAATAAACAAGTCCCAAGACCTATGATCGTCGTCTACATACATAGATATACAAGTAATTATTGTTCTATTATATCTTTCCACTAGGTTAACTTGTGGGGTATACTTAGGTGTATAATGCACGTTAGGTATATGATATTTATTACAGAGACTATCCATGAGCTTGCTTGTAAATTGGGTGCCGTTATCCATTAAAATGGTTTGTGGAACACCATGTACGAGAAACACAGATTCCTCAAGGATTTTTGTAATTACATCTGAAGTCGCTTTTTTAATAGGAAATATCAAGCAATATTTCGAAAAACAGCAAGTAACGACGAAAATATAACTATTACGAAGTTTTGTAGTGGGGAGAGGCCCCATAAGGTCTATGGAAATAGTTTGAAAAGGACGTGAACAACTTTTAGGACGACCCATTTCTCCTAATAGTTGATGATTTTGTGATTTATATGAAAGACACTTGTCACAAGAATCTATATATTTAACTACATCATTATACATGCCAGGCCAATAATAACGTAAGGCAAGACGTTTGTATGTTTTGAATATGCCCAAATGAGCAGCGGTAGGCTCACTATGGTTTTCTTTAATAATATTCTCACGGAATTCAGAACAAACTACTTCTTTCCATGAGAATTCAGAAGTTAACTCGTGTTTGTTTTTAGATAAACGGAATAATGTATCATTTTTAATAATAAAATTTGGAAAATTTGCAGGGTCATTTAAACAACCGAAATATAAATTTTTGTACCAAGCGTCTTTAGAGTCCAAATAAGA